ATATGTATGTGTTTTATAAAAATGTTTCTTATATTTTTAACCAGGGACACATAGTCTGGTCTCTTCACTGCATTTATATAGCAGTTATATAATACTGGCCGGATGGGAGTAAATACAAAAAGTTTTAACACACCAGCTCTGCAATACATCACTGGTGGAATGTCTTTGCTGACAATCGTGAAGGATAACGTTACACCTTTATCGCTATGAATGTAACATACCACAAATACATTCTTCTTAGACCCCTCCACCAGAGTCACATCGGAGATGTTCTGGTAGTATTTCAGGTTAACATCCGAAATCTCTTCCTGTCCCGCATCCTAGATGTTGAGAGAAGTTACTTTGTAAGATTCCCAGCATAGATAGCGGGAAGGTAACGGTTTGGTGATTGCGTTTGCCGAGCTCGCATTCCTACTGTGAGTTCATTGGTGCTCATGATCGATTGAAGTATGGGAAATAGTTTAATCGTTTGTAATGTGGCAATCATTGTACCCATTCTAAAAAACGGGATACATGAGGTTATGCATGAGGTACAAAGTATGGCCATAGCAATCGCTGAATTGATGTGAACTTTTCGTATATTCATTCGAGGTAGGAAATGATGGAATCACAAACAAGGTCAAGTTGCAAATCCACGTAGTGAACGTGACATGTCTAAGACGTTACTTGTAAGTCTCCATCGTTTAGAACGGGCACATGCACACGTCTCAATATTCTGTCTACACGTTTACAATAATTGTTTATGTATGCATATATTACATACAAAGTCGGCCTGCTTTTTGAAATAGCAAAGGCGGCCGTCGGCATACAGAACAAAGAAGCGCTTCTGCCAACCACCTAACAGGCCTGAGCTGAGTTTCTGCAAGTTTCCTTTGATAACAACCTGCTTTGACTTGCGCGAAATACTTTTCTCGTCGACGGTCATGCTGTTGAAGGTATGAGAAGATTGGTCAGTGTGAGAAGGTTGATCGGAATACTCGAATTTACTTATATGTGGTAGTTGTAACGACCGATTTACACACACACACACACCCACACACATACACACACACACACACACACACACACACACACACACACACATACACACACACACAC